ACTCGTGCGAGCGCGCGCTGCCCTTTCAGGCTGCCCGTGCAGAGCCATCTAGGGCTTTACATAACCTCTGGCACGTCTGATCTCGTTTATATTTTTTATTTATGTCTTACGTTCGTAAAGGAACCCTTTGCAAGGTGGCTGACCTAGGCTGCCTCCTCTCCATTTATCCTCACAACAACCCCATCAGGTAGGTTAAGCGGAGAGTCAGTGGTTGGTCCAAATCGCCCAATGAGCTAGCCTGGGAATTCCTCTCCCCCGGGGAATCCTCTAAATATGGTGGTGGAGCAAGAAGGAAAAAGAGAAAGTCGCCACCCCCCCCCATCTCATAATTCCCGCCACACTCCATCCTTTGGGGCTCATGTTTTTTTGCTTTTTTTTAAAAAAGTAAGTTTTATTATTATTTTTCTACTAACAAAACGAAACGAAAAATCATCAATCATCAGAAACATCATACCTACTGGGTCAGCCCCCCATACTTTTTTTTATAGTAATCCATAAACGTTTTTAAGTCTATGCATAGTCCCGTTCCTCTAGCCACTAATAAAAAGAATTCCAAGTTTGATAGAAGTCTGTATTCTCTGTCTCCTTCAGAGACAAAGTCAGTATGTCCATTTCGGCACAGTCCAAGATCTTTTTTAAAATCAGTTCGTCGGTAGGTAGTTCACTCCTCCAATGTTGGGCAAATGCAATCCTCGCCGCAGTAATTACATGTAGAATCAACTACACTGCTTGATTAGCAACATCATCAGGTACAATGCCTAATAAGAAAACTTCAGGTTTAAATATTAGAGGTTTTTGTAACATTCCCTCAAGCCATTTATATATTTTAACCCAGTATTGTTTTTGCCTTATCACAAGTCCACCACATATGATTAAAAAGTACCCGGTTTATGTTTTTATGCTTCTAATGCTCTGCCAACTCTGTTGGACGTTCCCTTTCCCGGAAAGAAATCAGCTCGCGTCCGAGAGATCGGGGGAGACGCACCTCGAACGACCCCCGGGAGGGCGGGGCTAAAGCTGACCACGCCCCCGCCTGGGCTCCCGCCCCTTCCAATAGAGAACGACCTGCGGGTCTCTGCGGGGGCCTCTTGTCCAAAGAGGGAGGGAGGGAGGGAGGAGTTGGCTGGGGGACTCGCCGCGGGGGGGGAGATCCGGGGCGGGGTTCAGCGCGCGCCTGTGCATTCCGGGGGGGAGATAAGCGGGGAGCGCGGCGCCGATTCCGGGAAGAGGAAAGGGGCGGCGCTGCGAGGAGCGGAGGGGACGCTTTGCGGGCGGGGAAGCAGCGACAGCAACGAGGAAGGGCGGGGGGGGGGGGCGTTTTTGCTGGCCTTAGGAAGGGGGAGAGCCTGGCTGAGTTTCAGGATGATGTGCATTGCGCGGGGTCAAATCGATTCCTACAAGCAGAAAGGACGAGGCTGAGGCTGTCATGCTTTGGCCCATCATGAGAAAGCCAAATTCTCCGGCGAAGACACTCGTGATGGGGAACGGCAAAAGCAGAAGACGAACGGGAAGACCGGACAGGCGATGGATGGAAGCCGGAGAGGAAGCCGCAGCCTTGGACAGGGCTGGGCAGGGCTGGCCTGGGCAGGGCATCTTGGAAGGTTTTCATTCCGAGGGTTCTCTTTGGATAATTAGTCCCTATCCATGTCCAAACAGCTATATTATCAACAAGTCAGGTTTCATAAAAACTAAACTCTGCTGTAGTTTCCCTGGCCTTGCAGAAAGAAAGAGGGGATAGGTGGTCCAGTATCTGTAGCAGGTACTTCCACATGGGCATGTAATATTAAAGCATGATTTAGTATGTGACCAATACCTTGTGCATTAAGAATGGCTGTACTTAAGCATAAATTTTGAGAAGCCTATTGCAAAGATTAATGGTACCACGTATCTGCATGGAGTTGAGAAACAAGCAGGTTTGGTTTTGTTAAGTTGGAGGCGTCTTGATAACACACAACAGCGTGACCAAACCCTGGCTGATGAAACAAGCCTTGGGGAAGGAAGCTCGGCGGGGAGGGGGTGGGATTCCTCAGCTGCCTGGCTTCCTGTTACTGAGCGTCACCATTTTGTTTAAGAAAATATGTTTAAGAAGATGTCTAATCTGCTTTTCTGGGCTCCTTGCCCTCGTGCAACGGCCTGTGATGTTATAAAACATGGACAATAAGGATTAACTGTGCATAACATCCAGCAGCGAGGAAAAATTAAAGCCCCAAATGCAGACAGGAATACATGTCTCTGGGGGGTTTGGCTTGCTTTTTAAAAGCAGCAGTGATGAGGCCGCGTGGAGGGAATTCAAAAGGTGTGGGGCCACCACTAAGAAAGCCCTTGGCTTAAGGTCCCTTACTAGGGGGCCAAAGGGTGCCCCCCCC